TTTCAAAAATTTAAATTTTGATTTTTCGAATTTCTGCCGCCGACTGTGACCTTGCCGACTTCCGGCGCTCCCAACGCGCCATTTTTAGAGCTAGGGAAACGAAATACATACCAAACGATAGAGAATTGATCAAGGAACACGATAGTGAAGGTTTCAAGTCGATATCTCCCACCGTTTTGCCGCAATCGCCGCGGAAAGTTGAAAAAAGTCTATTTTTCCGAAAATTTGACCTTTGACCGGTCAAAAGTAAGTCAAATGTTGACCTAGGACCAAAAAATATACCACCAATCGCGAGATCTCGGCGAGAGCAATCCGTTGGTCTTTTCCGCTAAGCTCTACGACGCTCCGTTTTCAAACGCCAAGCAGTGGCGGCGGAAGCAGGGGGGCAAGGGGGGCAGCTGCACCCTAAAGCTATGGAAAGGGGCGCCTCGAAAATCTGTAGAGGAGGCAGGAAGTTAAGAGGTGCGGCAGCCATAAAGCTGAGCAGTGCGAGGCGACACCGCAACTGATAAAGGCACTTGTGACACGAAGAGGGTGGCAATGACGTGGGAAAAGTATCTTTTGATATGCTGAAGAGTGGAGGGCAACCTTATCTGAAACAAAGGCAGATGCTGCCGACCCTGTCGAATATAATCTTGCCAGGCGATAAAGGCTAGGAGGGCGCAGCTACTCGAGAAGCGCGCCATGCGGAAGAGGGGCGCCTGCATGCGAAAGAGGGGCGCCTGTGTGTGGGACAAAAAAGAAACATTTATGGAGACGTCTTTGAAGGCGATAGCCTCCGAACGCCAACACGAACATATGAGGGCTTATAGCGTTGCAGGCTCCATGCGACAAAAAGGGGCGCCTGATGGCCGATATGCGAGAGGAAATTAGTTTGTGTAACATTTATCGGGGGCGGTTTGCCGTTTACAACATATGAATGTTAACCCGCGCCCCGTAGGGCTACCGGCGGACCCTACCACCCGTAGGGGGGGGGGCCGTTTCGGCCCCCCCCCTAAGATCTCGGAAAGTTACCGGCCGATTTTCAAAATTCAAACGGCGTTCGATAGCCCCACCCGGGAACTACCTTGTGACCAAATTTCATTGACCTAGGTCAAACCGATGACGTCACAGGTCAGGTCAAAGGTCAGATTTTCACCGTTCACAGGCAATTCAAGAAATGTGCTGTGAAAGCGAGTAAATTGGTAATTTATTGAAAACCATCGATGGTACATTGTTCGTCAAACACATACTTTGCTATCTGAGGTCACTGATACCAGGTCAGGTCACAGCGAGGTCAGGTCACCGGGGGTCACAATATGAATGTGTCGTGTGATACATGTTTTATGGTCCATTTTACATGACAAATGCGATTATGTGGGTTAGGCAGCCTTTGGGGCCAGCCTAGGTCACGTTTTTGTGAAGGTCAGGTCAAGGTCAGGTCAAATTAGGTCAAATTTCAAAGTTGATATTTTTGCATAAAATGGGTATCGATTCGATGCAGCTCGTCACGGGGAGTCTAATGGTGGTCTTCGTTTTGCTCTACGAGTTCTAGAATTGCCAAAAATTGAGTTTGAAAATTTGACGTCATCATTTTTGAACAGTTTTTTCGCTATAACTTGGCCAAAAAACGAGGTATCGATCTGAAATTTGGTATGTTGATAGAAGACGGTAGGCACTATCACATATATTCTGGTTTTTTCGAAACTCAAAATACTTTTTGGATTTTTTGGCGAATATATCCAAAAAATACTTTTTTGATTTTTGGGGGTCAAAACTCAAAAATTTCAAAAATTCGAGATAGCAGTTTTGTAGCCCTGTCAATTCTACACCTTTTATGTCTTGATCATTTTTCTGTATCTTCAAAGCTGTAGTCCTGACAGGTCTTCTCGCGAAGGTCTTTTTTCGCTCGAAAATGACAGAACATGACGTCACTCTGACGTCATTTGTGGCCAACCTATCATAGCCTCTGGAAAATTTTTTGGTCACAATGTGTAAAATTGATGCCCGGAGGGGTTCTGAAAGTTTGGTGGCGATATCTCCAGCCTTTAGGAGATATCGACCGAAAAGGACAGGGGGGGCCGTTTCGGCCCCCCCCCCCCTACGGGGCGCGGGTTAAGGGAAGTCCGAGATTGGGGCCTGTAAAATTGCACTGTCCGTATGGGCGGTTACACCCCTAGTGCTAGGGCGTATTTTGCGTTTTTTTTTTTTTACTGGGGAGATGATTATGACCAGGAATAGCACTCTGCAAACTTCTATGGGCGCCTGTATAAGGGCGAAACTGATTTTCCAGTGCAGGGACGGCCATCGGCATGGTAAGGGGCGCCCAGCGGGAAGGGGCGCTTCAATATCGTTTGCACCCCTATCCTAGAATACCTTCCGCCGCCACTGACGCCAAGGGGGGGTCGCACCAACCCCCCCCCCCCCTGCATGGGCGAAGGTGGCAGATCGCCGTTTACGGGCGAGGGTTAAAAGTCTTCACAATGCGACCGGTGTTAACGTTATGTGTGCTGTTGCAGTCTCTGGTCTTTTTATGTGAATCGTTTGAATCTTCACGTAGCTGCTGGTGTTTTGCTGTGTGTGCCATTGCAGTCTCCAACATTGCACTGTTTTTCTTTGACTATCGTTGGAGTCTTCAAGGTGCTGCTGGCTTTATCTTTATCCCACGAAGTGCTGGGGGTGGGGGGGGGGGGAAGTTGCTTCCCTTTACGTTTTGCAGGCTATTTCCAAAATCTGATAAGATATAAACTTGAAACTTGGTATAGCTTCAAATGAATAGGGTAACTGTGGGGAAGACGCACCCCTGGGTTAAACGCCTCCCCTAAAAAATCGTATTTCTTATCGACGGATAGGTGTGTTATCCTGTCTTTCAGAACAATCAGCTGCTTGTTTACGTAGGTCTCTATTTCCGGTTCTGCGTCTTGAAGAGTAACGTGGGTAGGTGCTGATGTTGGTTTTGGGTGTGGTTTTTGTTGTTTTTACAGAAGATTGCTAATATTTTTATGCCCTTTTTATATCACAAAACTTGCTATTGTGCACATCACTCAAACTACTGCGTTTCATTGTCATTCTGTTGAACGTATTATGCTGCGGCGTTAGTGGCGCGTTTTTTTGTCAATATTTTGTTGACCGGAAATGGAGTGGATGGGGCAAGACGCCTACTCGATGCATGGGGCAAGACGCCCCCAGTTTTCTGAAAGGGGGGCGTTTTGCACGGTGGTGAGAGTGCAGGGTAGCGCCCTGTAGGTCGGGGCCGAAAAGGCCTCTCCCTGTCCTTTTTTGCTGATATATCCTAAACGACTGCAAATATCGTCACCAAACTTTCAGGACTCCTCCGGGCATCCATTTTACACATTGCAACAAAATTGTATTCCAAAGGCTATGATAGGTTGACCACAAATGACGTCAGAATGACGTCAAGTTCTGCCATGTTCATCATTTTCTGTTGATGGATGGGGTGGGGGCGCTTTGCACATGGGTGTGGGCGTATTACCCAGGGTATGGGGCAAAACGCCCTTTTGTAAGGGTATGCGAAAACCTTTTTGGGGGGTTAAATACCACACGCAGGTGTCTTTTCTTGGTCTCAAAGCGTAGTAAAAAGAATGAGCTACATGATGGTGCCCAAAGGTTTAGGTAATCTGTGTTGGGTTGAGTGTCAGAAGGTTTCGCGCTTAAGGGGGGCGTTTTTGACCTATTCACCCTACCTATGTCACATTTGAGAAAGTTTGGTGGTTGCAGCTCTTAAGTCGACGTCGCAGTGACCTGTGACATCATACAGTTTTGTCGTTTTCCGATATGAAGCGGTTCTGATGTCACTGAGCATGAAACATAACGGTACCTACCTTTGAACTTAACAACACCTGCTGTCATCTAACTTCACAAGTTTAGGTCCTGACCAGAAATCGGTCCTATATATTCGGTCCTGTATTGCAGTTAAGTTGTGAGGAAACCAAGAAACGTCAATCTAACTATAATTGGACTTCTCGCCTCACTGTGACGTTATTTAAAATCGTATCCGATTGAATTCAGGCTTCTGACGTCACTGTGACGTCATTTCGAATGGAATTGACACCAAATTTTGACAGAACTACGGATGCCTATTCAATAATATGTGTGCAAAGTTTCACTTCCCTACTTCCACGTGTTGCGACGATCTATATCGTCGGAGTCGGAGAAGTAAAGGGGACAACAAGCTGCACCCCTTCCCCACCCTAGCGGCTGACCGGCGCGGTGGCGCGGGAGCCCAGCGCCCAGTGGCCGCAGGGTGCTGTTGCAGTCCCCAGTCTTCAACTGTTTTCTGTGAATCGTTAGAGTCTTCACAGGGCTGCTGAGTGTTGGTGTTATTGTTATGTGTGCTGTTGCAGTCTCCAGTCTCAAACTGTTTTCTGTGAATCGTTAAAGCCATTACAGTGCTGCTGGTGTTAAAATTATGTGTGCTGTAGCGGTCTCCGGCCTTCATATGTGAATCATTCGAAGCTTAGCGTAACTGCTGGTGTTATGCTCATGTGTAGGTAGGTACCTATCAAAAGAAATAAAAGAAGTTCAGCTACAAACACTGTTTGCTTCGTTGTATTACTGAGCTCTGAGATCTATGTTATAGGTAATTCTTTAATGAAATTTCTCGTAAACATGTAGCTTGTTAACATTCTGCGGTTAATGTCTTTGGTTAGCACGATACACAGGCATGCATACTCATAGCATAGGCTTGCATTAATCAATAATCATGATCGTCAAGACATTGATATTAGACATTCAACTACAATTGCTTTTGTCAAAATATTGAACTGATATTGCACGATAAGTAGCTTCAAATATGAGACAAATGAGACCAACTGGTTCACCGACTCAATGCCAAGGGTACCTCCGGAGCACGTCCCGCGAACGTCCGCGCACGCCGCGGCTACGTCGGTTGTGGAGAAAGTGCGCCCGCCTGTGGGCCGTACCCGGATCGGGCCCACGCCTCCGCCGCCGCCGCGGCCAGCAGTTTCTCCCGGCCCCACTCAGTTCATGACGGACGGTGACCGATTGCGGGCGGTGACTCGTTCGCGCGAGTTCTGCTCACCGGGGTGAGGAGAGCGTGCACAGACGCGGATACGGGCTCGCTGAGAGTTGGAGGGTGTGACACCAGGGCAGTGCCGGCGTTGTTGTTGGAGGATAAAAGACGAGAAAAGTTTTGATTGAAAGTGGTTGGCAATAATCTGCGAGGACTGAACTGCTCACCCCGACAGTGCTGCGCCGGCAGTGGAACTGAGTAGCGTGCTGTAGCAGCGGACCGGTACCCGACTCTGCGAACTGTGGGAGGGCTGTGAACACAGCGGCGATCTGTGGTCAGTGCCGTCTCGGAGTCGGTGCGCCGTCTGACTCTGCTCGACACCCAGCCGGGAATGGGTGCGGCAGTTTGCGGTCTGCTGCTGCTGCTGCTCGCCGCGGCGACCGGCGCACCCCAGCAGCGACAACAGAGGCTCGTGTTCTCACCGAGCCGGCGCGCCAACACCGAGAGCTTCCCGTTCACTTCCATCGGGGATCTGCCGCTGTCATCCACACCTTCTCCAGTCCTCGAGACGGCCGACCAGTTCCAGTTTCCGTCCTCTGTCGGAGACAGCCCGCTCCAGCCAGCCGCGGACGAGGATGGCCAGCTCATATTCCCCTCTCCTACCGCGGCCGGCCCGCTCCTGCAGCCTCTCCCGGCTGACGGGACCGATGGGATCCAATTCCAGGCGTCCAGCACGGCGGGCGACTCACTGAGAGCCTCCTCTGGGCGGCTCATCTTCAGTCCAGAACGGCTCATTTTCTCGGGCTCCCGGCGCCGCGCAGGCCCTCCGCCGTCGCCGTCTCCTCTGGCATCTCCACCGTCTCCAGCCCCGTCTCCTCTAGCATTCCCGTCTCCCCAAGCATCCCCGCCATCTCCTCTGGCATTCCCGTCTCCTCAAGCTTCCCCGCCATCTCCTCTGGCATTCCCGGCTCCCCAAGCTTCCCCGCCGTCTCCTGTGGCATTTCCGTCTTCCCAGGCATCCCCGCCGTCCCCGTCCCCGTCTTTCCTCCCAGCTCCAGCCCCGTCCCCGCCGCCGCAGGCCGAGGATGGGATGGCGCACCTGCAGGAGTACCTGCAGCAGGTGCGACTGACGCAGGCGGCTGGTCGCTCCCAGCAGACACTGCGAGCGGCGGCGGCGGCGCGCACCGGCCCCCGGCCACGAGTCGGGCCGCGCACACCCGAGGCCGTGGCGGCGAACCCAGACGCAGCGACGGCCCCACGCCGCGGCGCCGGCCTCGGCGGGAGTCTCGCGGCGGCCGATGAGCCAGTACGACCGCTGGTCGTAGACTCTATCCCTCGGGACAGGGAGTCCGAGGCGCAGGACTGGAGCTCCAACCTGCTGGACTCGGCGGCGCGGGCCGGTCTCCGCTCGCCGGGAGCGGCGCTGGACGACACGGGGCCGGCGGACGAGCCCTACTGGTCCGACCTACCCAGCTTCCCCGGCTCGCCGGAGCCGCCGGCCGCTGAGGAAGCAGAGGACACAGTGTGGGGCGGCGCCATGCGGAAGGAAGATCTGTTCTACCACGGGCCGCTGCCGCAGGAGGCGCAGGCGGACACCGAGTCGTTCAGTCCGCGGCCAGCGGAGCGTCCCGGCTCGTTCAGCCCCTCGCCGGTGGAGGAGCCCGACTCCTATAGTCCGCGGCCGCTCTCTGCGTCCGCTCAGCTGCTGGAGGAGGTGGAGGCGGTCCCGAAGGACAGGCGCCAGGGGAGGCGGCTCGGCGCGCCGCCCTCCCGCCAGCCAGAGTACCTGGCCGACCTGCTGCGGCTCGGCACCGACTTTGTGTACCTTCCCGGACTGAGTGGGCTCAACGTCGAGCTCGGAGCCGAACCCCAGACGGCGGGTCGGGCGGACGGCGCGGCCGCGGCTCCGGCCGACACTGAGCTTCCCACCCGACAGTCCGATAAAGGTCCCGACGTGGTGTACGTCTACATCGTGCGCGGTGACGGCCAGACCCTGGACCTGTACGCGACCGACGGCCGGCGACCGGCGGCCACTGGGGAGCCAGAGGGCGGGTCCGGGCGGCGGCAGACCGCAGCGGTGGTCGCTGACGAAGACGGTGAGCTGGTGGATTACCTGGCTACAGGGGCGGACGCCGAACTGAATGAGATTGAGACCACCACAGAGGACTTGGAGGGCGCCGCCGACAGCTCGACGTCCCATCTGCTCTCAGTGGTGGACGGGTGGGGAGACGGAGGCACAGCAGGATTGTCAGGTCTCGGCAAGGAGAGAGAAGGGCAGACTGTGACGCCACGAGGCGGAAATGTAAATAAGGAAGAAAAGGGTGAAATCAAATCGGTCTACTTTGATCCGGCAAATCAGTTTCTAATGAGTCATGAAGAAGCAAATAAAGTATCTGTTGAGAATGAGCTAGTTAAGCTCGCTAACGTCGACGCCGTCAGCTCGTCATCCGAGGATTTGCCCCTGGAAGAGCGCGGAATTTTCTTCTTTCCGGGTAACGTCATCCACTCATTTGGCATCGCTCCAAGCTCGGCAGGTGAGGCGCGGCAGCGACTCATGGTTTGTTTTACGACCGCCGCGACAGCCTTTCTCTCCGCTTAAATGGAGTGATATCGGCCGCCTAGCGATGGTTGCCTTAGAACGGGTTCGATTGCCAATGTTGATATTCCGCTGCAATCCGTAGGACAGCCCAGTCGGTTTGCACTGCCGTCTCTAAACAGGAGGTACCACCGGCAAAGCGTGTCAATGTCGGAGATAGGCGCCGATATGGATTCGAATATCGATTCATAAATGCAAAGCTCCATGAAGCATGGGCATGGGTTGCAAAACGGCATGGGTTGATCGTAATGGTATGCCAGGGAGCAAAAGTCCTTGAGAGGGTCGTCAAAACAGAATAGATAGCGAGCGTGGAGCGTCGTCCATCTGACCATCGCATGCTATCACACAGCCGAACAGTAAGCCGCTGCTCACGACTCCCGGCTGGAGGTCGCGGCTTGTAACTCGTATCATCTTTTAGCAGTGTTCATGTCTCTTCTCCCTTTCAGGGCAGTGTGACCACCCTCAGAGTGCCCCCTCTCCCTGAGTGACCTCACACTCAGAGTGTCCCTGAAAGACCTCCCTCCCCCTTCCCGCAGGTTCGCCGGTGGTCGTGTCCGTCCCCCGGCCCGGGGTGCCGTCCGTTCTGAGCAGCGTCAACCAGTCCACGCCAATCGCCGAACTTCTCACACCGCCCGACCCGCCTCTGCAGACGCTGGCGGCGGCGGCAGCGACTCCCGTGGACAGACAGGACACGGCTGAGCTGCTGGCGGTCCCCTCGCCGCCGCCGCCCCCGCCCACGGCCGCCCCCGCCCCGACGGCGCGGCCGCTCACCGGCCGGCCGGTGATATTCACCGAGAGTCCGCCGGTCGGCGACTCCTTGCTGGCCGGCCCGACCGGCGCCCGCCCGCAGTTCGTGTTCCCGGGCGGAACCTCAACCGCTCCGGTCCAGGGCGCAGGGGACGCGGACGCCCCGTTCCGCTTCCCGTCGCCGGAGCCGGACCGGGAGGTGCTGGATACCTCCTCGGAGCGGCCGCTGCTGTTCTCCTCGGGCCGGCCGGCGGTGGCGGAGGAGCGGACCGAGCGGCCGCCGGCGGTCTCTGTCCCCTCAGACGGCGGCCAGTGCCGCCCGGAGCCGGACTGCGCGCTGCTGAGCCGGCGCCGGCGCGGCTGCTCGGCCAGCGCCGACTGCCCGGCGCCGCAGCGCTGCTGTTTCAGCCAGTGTCTGGGCGTGTCCGTGTGCCAGGAGGGCACGTTCAGGGAGCGGCTGGCCGGCCTGGCGGCGCTGGCCGACGTGGTGGTGCCCTGAGAGCCGCCCGACCGCGGGACGCGCGCAGAGACCGACACTGTGATGGCTGTTACGCGAGATACCTACCGGCCGGCGGGAGGCCGACCCACGCACTAGTTCACTAACGTTTGTACGTTCACTTGTTCACAAGTAGCTGTTATAACAATGTGGACAAGGAGAACCATGATGCTGTTATCTTAGGGTCACTACTCACTAGTCCTCAAAGACCAATTTTAGCTGCTAAGTGCTAACACTAGGAAGATATTTTCGTTATGCCGAAGACAGGCAGCATATTGAAAACCTTTCAACCGCGCGTAGCTTAGCTGTTTAGTGTAGGTCTGCCGTGTGCTGGGGTATTGAACTCCCACACAGACACATAAACAAACGGATGCTGAGTGGCACTGCTACTCCCAGACACGACTAACCATCTCCGATGAGAGCCGGGTGCCACTGTGTACAGTAACGCTAAATCGTGCGCTGGTCGATCGATAATTGTTGCGCGAGGACGCTATTCAGCCGACGTGGGTGTACTTGACCGATGTTTTACGATGTGATAGACCCACTGATACGTGCAACACATCTTCTGTGTCATCTTCGTGGGCCATGCTGGATCTACGAATTAGCATACACCAGAGATTGAGGCAATGCCGCGCACTGTGCGGTGGTTCCAGGAGATAGATGAACCATCGGGAAGACATTTTGATGTTACTGTTATTTTTTCTCTAAGATAGATGCTGTATTAGTTTGTTATTAAAATGATATTGAAACGATCCATGAACGTGTGCTCAGTGCTGGTTATGTACGTACAGTCTCCGCTGGCTACATTTGCTTTTATTTGTGTCGCTACTCTTATAGTCACTCTGATCAGTTTTGCTATCAGTTTCGATGTTGGGCTGCTTCCCGCATCGTGCGATACTCAGTGGTTTCATGAGACTCGATGAGGTTTTACCGAGTGAGTGATTTTTTCGGCTTTGATACCAGAACATAGAACCCTTCCATGTTTTCACAATGCATTCGTTTTGAGCTGAGGTCTAGCACTAATGACTTTGACCTACCCAATGAGTACCTTTTCAGGGTTGTGCTAAAACGGTATGTCTTTACGGCCACACGTCAATATAAATTAAACGGCATTACGTCTATATGCTCATGGCACAAACATGACCAGTGACCACGCTGATCAAATACTATATGCATGGCCATTGCTTGTATTAGAAGCATGTTAACAGGACAATTCAATGCAAAAGGCGTAACAAATTCTTAACGCAGCAAAACGGAGCGAAGATTTTAATAACAACTCCTGTGCAATGACAACACATTTGCCAGAGTTATTGTGAAGGGCCGGCCGGGACTGTGAGCAAGGTGAGACTGGATTTCACCGCAGATACGGGACGCATGAGACCAACCGAATCGGCATCAGTGTAGACACTCCCACGGCATTCACGCGAGACGGCGAGTGAGAATGAAATCCACCCCTCACTGACCACATCTGTGTCCACGTCACAATCCAAGTACACCAGCGGATCGCCACACGCACCAGCCGACGGAGCACAGTGTCACCATCGGGGGGAACTCTGATTAGTAGTTACCTTCCGACCTCCCGGCTCCGCCCACCGAGTCTGTGCCCTCCCTCCCGCGCCGGGCGGCTCTCCGAGCTCGGGTCGCCCGCCCGTCTGACCACACGCACCGCCTCTCCGTCCGTCGGCTAGCCCTTGCTCTGCGTCTGCCGCAGCTGGAGCTGAAGCTTCCCCACCGCCTCCCGACTGGCCTCCTGTTTCGACTCCAGGTCCTTCAGCAGGTCGTCGTGCCGCTTCCTGAGCGGGGCACACAGGGGATTCGTGAGGAACCGCTTCTGGCACCGACAGCGAAATAAAGGGGTTGGTGGCTCCAGGACAGACGCTAGTGACAGTTTGAAATGCTCGCTTTCACACGTCAATAATCAATGGCTAGATGTGGATGGCGTCATGGCGAACTTGGCAAACACACAACAGGATACGCAGTACTCGTTATAAGTCAAGGAAATACCGCAATGCCGTTAATCAAGCACCGTAAGGAATGGACGAAAATGAAGAAAACAAAAACAAAAAACTAACTTTTCAAGATATGTAGCTTAACTATTCGACAGTATTTGAGACATCAAGGGAATAAGAGAATAGAAAACAAACAAAGTAGTCTATTTAAGAAACTTCCACGATGCGAAGAACGTTACGATAAAATACTAAGGTGACGGCGACTTACAGTTCTCCCTTGATGTAGTCGAGTCGCTTGGCCACGTTTTGGCTGGCTTCCTCCGGGTCCTGTTTGACCAGTACCGGGCCGATCAGCTTGTAAACCTTGGCGCCGTCCTCAAGCAGGGACATCTCCTGAGGGAGGTATGAATTACCAGTCAAATATCAATAACGGACTGACGTGAGATTGACGAACACTGACGCGAGAGTCTAATATTTAACCACGGAAAACGACACGAACAGTAGGTAACGAACAAAGTTTTCACATTCATCATACACATTGAACTAAAACATTTTGCTCGGTGGCGTGAGCACACATCTGTCATACTTTCATTTATCTGCAATGTACTTATATCCCTGAATTGAGCTATTAACAACAACTTCAAACATTACATACCTCTTTGACCAAAGCATTTTCATTCATCTGGCCATCGAGGGTTTGTCGAGCTGCCAAAGCCTTTTGATAATCTGAAAAAGTACATGAAAGGTAGGTGAGTGTCTTATTACCAGTGAGTATGACATTTTTCAGCTAGACCTGTCTGTTGTATGTTCTCAACTGTGCATTCGTCTCGAGATAATGGTTCCAGCGACCAGTAGTTTGGATAGGTCTGATTATCAGCAGCTGTGAGCAATCAAACTCTGACCAAATGCACTCACTCCACTCCCCCCCCCCACACACACAGACACCTCCCAATGTCAGGGGGCAAGGCAGTGTGGGGACATTAATTGCAGGAAAACTAATTGTACTGGTCGCACGAACCCTAATCTCAATTGTGATCTAATACCCTAATCTCAATGACCAATTGTACCTGATTTGAAAAAAAAGGTCTTATAATAAATGTTCGGCACTCTCGCTCCTTCAATGCTAAATCTGGCCAATCTCATCAATCAAGCTTCCAATCACAGACCAGTTGAAGACTTGGATCTTTCTACTTACAATTTTTGTGCAATGGTGGGACTAATTATGCTTAACTCCAGCTTACATTGTGGTGCTCAAAACATGTGATCATGAACAAAAACATGGATGAGCTTGAGCATACATGTCAGTTGGGTTCTTATTGTGTATGTGTACACTCGGGGGCAGATTGATGTTCCACCACTCCCTACCCATCGGGCTCCCATGGATCAGAAGTGGCTGCTGCCAGTGTTGCCTGCCCTCAGCACTGCTCAGCACTGCCTGCCAGTGCCAGTGCTGCCAGTGCTGCCACTGGCAGCAGCCAGTGCTGAGCCATGGGAGCCCGATGGGTAGGGAGTGGTGGAACATCAATCTGCCCCCGAGTGTACAAATGTGAGACCTGCTTCTCCATCTCTAGAACGATTGGGCTGATATGGACACCTGCTGTGCCTCCACTGACTATACCATTATGTGACTACTTGACCACTAGCAATGTTTAGGCAAATAGGTGGTGCCCACTGGCCTGCTCTATGTTGCATGAGCCAAAAATATTTCTCTCACCTTTCTGTAGTTGCTTGAACTTCTCAACTTCTGTATGAAACTTTTTCTGGATGGCTTCTGCCATAATCTTTTATTATCTAGCACTTAGACTCAAAAGAAGAAGCACTGTAAAACAAAACAAATGTTACCAATCACCAATCCATTTGATTCATGCAGACAAAGCAGTATGAGTAGGCATATAATAAGAATGCATACAATTTTGGTTGATTACAATAGGGTTGACCTAACCCAGTAAACATGCCGACGTCGGCCCAACGTCGGTTCAACCTCGGCCCGACATCGGCTGGACGTCGGATATGCCCGCATGTTCCGACGTCCAGCCGAAGTCCAGCCGACGTCGAGCCGACGTCGAGCCGAGGTCGTTTGCCGAGGTTGACGAGATCGTTTGTCGTTGGACCGACGGGGCCGACGTCGGCATGTTTATTGGGACAACGCGCAAAAATATCAACCGGCGGCGGGATTCAAGCCCCCCAGTCGCCGACGTCGGCATGTTTACTGGGACAACACGCCAAAAGCATCAGCGGGCGATGGGATTCGAACCTCGTGTCATTTGAACGCGAGGTTAGTGCGCTAACCACTACACCACGCAGCCAGATAGCGAATGTAGTTTGTTTTGTTGGGTTATGCCCTTTCGGTCTGACAAGACCATTTCAGAGCCGGAAGGATGATAGGATGGAGACATTGGTCTTCTTGGCGAGCACCCTGGGTCTAGAGTCCCTGGTCCCATTGCTGTTACGTGACACTTATTGGAAAGGGCGACTCCACAATGGATTCATATAGCCACTCTTACACACCTGCACCAACGTTTCCCAAAGTGTCCCTTTGATAAGTGGCACTTTGGCAAAGTGACACTTGCCGACTGGCCTTTCTATATGAACTGGGCCCGGCCCTGGTGAGTTGCCGGGGCTGAGCCTGACCAAAGGATAGGCCGGGCAGCCCCCAAGCACTCACCGCACCCGGCTACGGGCGAGCTCGGCTTACGGGCAATCCCAAATGGGATAAAGTTTCCCGTCCAGTCCGGATCAGGGGGTTGCGGCGTGGAGGAAGATTTGAGTTTCCTGAGGATATTTTGAATACAGAAGCTCTTTATGAAACATGAAACACGTATTTTATATTATTTTAACGGTCAAAACAGCGGCCGATGTCGGTCCGACGTCGCCCCGACGTCGGCCCGATGTCGGCTGGGCCTCAGCAATTGATCTCGGTCCGACGTCGGCCCGACGTCGGCTGGACCTCGGCTGGACGTCGGTACATGCGGGCATATCCGACATCCAGCCGACGTCGTGCCGAGGTTGAACCGACGTCGGGCCGACGTCGGCATGCCGATGCCGAGTTGCCGACGTCACCCCGACGTCGGCCGACGTCGAACCGACGTCGGCATGTTTACTGGGAAGGTACCCAAGTCTTTATTTATTGAGTGTGTTTGAGGAGCAATCACAATGGGAGCTTTTTCTATAGCCTCAACTCCAACTGCCAAGCATCTGCACAAAGTCACTACCTACCACAGACAGCACTCAGTCAATCAACATGCCTTGCCTCACCCCAGGATAATACGTGGATCAAAATGGCTTGTTAAGAAGGCAGATAGCATAATGCATATAGAACAGCTGACAGCTGTTACAAATAGTTTCACTGCTTTGCAAATATGTTGACTGCAATCTTTCATGTAAATTGATGCTGGCCCCAATCCCATGCATTATGGTGGGTGTCAAGGTCACATGAAACTGAGGGTCAGGTCACGGTCATTAACCTTTGATGATCTTGGTTCACTTTTTTAGTTTTACACTTGGGCAGTAGCAGCTGCTTTAGAATTTGGCACACTTTTGTAGTTTTGTACATTTGCAAAGTAGTTTTGGTGGCTTTGTAACACACTAGGTACAAACTATCAGTGGTTAGTGGTGAGTGGTGGTTGACACCTTCTATGGACAGCCGGCACCCAGCAGGACCCCTAATGTTTGACCAATGACCTGACCTGTCACCCCACCCCACCCTGCCTAAATGCATCACCTCCACCTGTGGTCGTAACTACCTAACATAAAATTCATGATCAGCACCCCAGAAAACCTTCTAAACATCACTTTACATAGCTTTAGCAGGTCCGGTTTTTCTGGCTGTTGGGTCCTTGACTTGACCAGGAAGCTTAACCTCAGACCTTACGAAATATTTATAGTCACCGTGACGAAACACTCGTTTTCTGCGAAGCTCTAGCTCAATCAGGGGCCAAATGGCAAGGGGTTCAACGGACCGCAAGAGGTTCAACGGACCTTCCCGGTCCCCCCATACATTCGCAGCTGGCAAAACACCAATACAAACGAGGGTTCAAGCGTTTGGGTTTTCAATGGTTTCAACTTTCAACAGGAACTAAAATTCAATGGCTCTGTTTCTAGACCATGTGCTGTGATTTGTTGGCTCAAGCTTAAAGCTACCCCGTCATGCTGATGTGTGATGC